GGAGTTTAAGTTTTATACTTTCAAATTTTTCGTCAAAGCATTGACATAATACATATGCCAAATTATTTATGGGGATTATTGGGACACTTAATGTCTTGTAGAATTTAACCTTGATAATTAATAGGATGACTTGAAAAATTATGCTTTCTTGAATTTTTCTAATTGATAGGAGAATCACCCGTGGATCTGAATGTGTTTTCATTCATTTCTTTTTGATTCCGTAGCCATAGACGTTTAGTGCAATCTGCAATAACGTGTCCAAATTTTTTGCAATAGTTACATTGTACACTGACTTGATTGACGTTGGCCTGGATACACCCTTCATTTGATAGGGATTTGTAAAGGAGGTTCTGTGATGAAGGGGGGCGTATCCATTGAAATTAGCAAAATTATCCGATCGCGTTTTGTGATATCGAGGGAGATTACTCGTTTGTTGAGGTTTCTGAGGGCAATCAGGAAAGAAATGATCTGTTCGAAGACATATGAGACAACTTTTGAATTTTGAATTGGAGAATTAAATTTTGCCCTGAGAGCTTTTTCTTCACGTAACGTAGCAGTGAGCGCTTGATTAATCGTGGGAAATTGGCGATACCTAAGCATCTGAGAAATAGTTAAATGTCCATAGTACACGCATCAATTTTTTTTCATATCTCTTGTCATGGCAATACCACTTGTGACTGTACGGTACGCGACTTTGTGGCGCCGGCGTTTTGGCGTCGTTTTCGGCGCTGAAAAATGAAAGTCATGAAAATGCGCAGAATGACATTTTTTCCATGGAAAATGAATGAACAAATTACACTGTATTTTGTCGATAATAGTTGATTTTGTGATGTCCAATTATTGATGACGTTGAATTAAGTAATGAGAATATTAATATTGATGCTTAATTCTCTTGCGTGAAATTGTTTACAATGTTTTCTGTCGTTAATAACTGATTTCGTGATGTCAAATTGTTAATGGTGTTAAAGTGAGTAATAAGAGTATCAATGATCATAAAGCATTATAAGACTTTTGTATCATTATCTTGTAAAAATATTATTGTGAAATTATTATGAATTCATCTTTCATTCGTTTTTAACTTCCTGTTCTATAGGAAGTTATTGTAATGACCCCGAAAATCAATATGGAAATTTTCAACATATCTTCACGTTTCAAGGCCTCCAGAGTAAT